ACTTTCCATATGGAACTGTTGTTACATGCTTTATATAAGCCGTAAGGTAAGGTAAAGGTTCCCCTTTAATCCAGTCATGTCCAACTCTAGGGCGTGGTGCTCATTCCCGTTTCCAAGCCATAGAGCCAGCGTTTGTCCAAAGACAATCTTCCGTGGTCACGTGGCCAGTGCGACTAGACACCAAGGTGGTACCTATTTATCTACTTGTCTTTTTTATATGCTTTCGAACTGCTAGATTGGCAGGTGCTGGGACAAGCGACGGGAGCTCACTCCGCTGCATGGATTCGATCTTACGACTCCTGGTCTTCTGACCTTGCAACACAGAGGCTTCTGCGGTTTAACTCGCAGTGCCACCACATCCCTTTATATAAGCTGTAAGACACTACAATTTAATGCTTTGTAGGGAAAGGAAGTTATGCAGTGCTCTACTTGTGCACTGCTAAGCACAGCTACTATTAAAAGGAGGGATTTTAACAAAGGCAGTTGAGGCTGAACAGAGAAACTAAGGCTGTGTGTCTTGCCACTTCCTTTACTTTCCGCTGAAGTAATCCCGCCTAATGATCCTAGAACAAGTTAGGACAAAATTGAGCAGCCAACTTCATGGATTATACAGGTAAACTTCAGATGGTGAGATGTTCTGGGCCAAGGAGGCACAAAGACAAGAAATTAGGCATATTACTATCATACCACTGTGTCTAATCAGACCCAGAAGACGCCAATGCTTAGTTAAAACACTACCTGGAAACCCAAGGTATGCTGACTCTTGAATGAAGTGTAAGAGAAAATTATGTACATTTTTAACACTCCGAACAGTCATTATGTGTTTTATTGCTCAGATCTCTGAACCAGTTATACTGCTAAATTACTTGGAAAAAAGGACAATGGTTAAGTACACACACAAGGACATTGGGGAGAGAGCAGATGGAACTTGTCAGGAATATACAGTAGAATGGATACAGTAATTCTATAAGGGCTCAGAAAGCTCTGCATTTAACTCATGAGTGTTTATACCAGGTGTTCCTACCCTGTTTCCCCTAAAATAAGACCTAACCTGAAAATAAGTCCTAGTATGATTTTTCTGGATGCTTGAAATATAAGCCCTACCCCAAAATAAGCCCTACTTCATTAAAACCACACCCTCCACCATTGTGCAGCATTGTGCAGCAACCAGAAGATGACATGACTGCAAAAGAAAATATCCCCTAAAAATAAGACCTAATGTATTTTTGGAGCAAAAATTAATATAAGACCCTGTCTTATTTTCGGGAAAACACGGTACCATTTTACTAATTTTGACAGCTAAACCAAGAATTATAGCCACCAGGACCTTGTTTCCAAAAGATGGCAGGCAGCTTACTAGTCTGTCTGTGCCATGCCCAAAAGATATCCAAATGATTCCACCTGAACAAGCCCAGACTCTCTTCTCAGTAAAAGCCCAAGCCAGAACTTTGCCTGAATGATAGCTAAGTAATAATTCTTTGTAAATGAGAATAAGCCAGACCATATGGCTGGCCTCTAATCTCTTGGATATTGACAGATCTGAGGTTAGCTGCCAAAGCTGCTCTGCCCCGAATGGAATGAGCCTTGATGTGACCTTCAAGCTCTCCGCACTGTCAAACAAAAAAAAAGGGGGGGGATGTACAGTCAATTCATCTACATTATTATTATTATAACCATTTAGTTATATTATTTATATGCCTCCTTTCTCCCCACAGAGGACCTAAGGCAGCTCACAATAAGTAAAATTTTAAAAAAATTAAAAACAGTATATAAACATCACATTTAAAAAACAATTAAACATTTAATTTTTTTAAAAAAATTAAGTATTATATTGCTATGATCAAAATAACAGGATTAAAATCTATAATTTCTGTTTTTCTACAATACTGTCAAGTAATGTTTTTCACAACACATGTAAGAAACAATAAATCAAATGTAGTGGTACACTTGATTGGAAGTGCAGAAACAGAACTATATAATGAAGGTTTAGCCCATCCAGAATCATTACCATCACCAATATACAAAAAAGCATAAGAAAGAACTTGAAAGCAGAAATTCTCAAGCTGTACCACTTCACCACCTGAAAAAAAGTACTCTTAAAGTCAGTGCCAAGATAAACATGAGGCAACAATCTGAATTTATTGATCAAGCTGTCCCATTCATAAAATAAACAAAGGTGGAGGGTGGCGTGTTTGCTATTATTTTCAACATCAAAGGGAGGGCTTAGCAGAGATAAGCAAAAACATTCACTTATCCTTACCTTATCTCTCCATACTCTGCTTCCTAAAGCACTTTCTTCATGTAATTGTATTATATACACAGGCCCACAGTTAGTTCAATCAGCATTATGAATATTAATTGCTCAAACATTATTCTTCCTGATCCCTGTCCATATCACCTTAGTTATGTCAAAATGAAACATTGATTCACATTAGAATACACAACACCAGTGTCTGATGTCTTCAACATTCTTTGTGTTGTGCATTCCTGCCCTAAACAATCACCTTCAGCTACACTGCTTTTCCAGATTACACAGAGAAGTTGACATGTTTTATTAATATGAAAAAATACTACACTATCATCACATACTATTGAAGAGCTGATAGTACAAGATGTACAAGATGGCTTCCAGTCCATTACACAGTTCACCACTAAAGGAGCCTACCTTTATTGATATTTAGGTTAATAAAAAATAAAACACTGTGTTCTATAGATCAGAGGTTCCCAACCCCCAGTCCTTGGCCCGGTACCAGTCAGTGGCCTGAGCCGGACCAGGCTGCAGAGAAAGACCTCCCCCCACCCCCGCACGCACTCCCCCCACACTGCCTGTTTGCGCCTGGGTGCGCATGCCTGCGCCCACATGAGCACTCCCCCACTCTTTTGTGCACGTGCACGAGCGCCGACCCGCACGAGCACCCTTTCGCTGCTTCGCGCATGCACACAAGCACAGGGGGGTGCCCTGCCTTCCCCAGCTGGTCCGCAGGGCTAAAAGGTTTGGGGACCGCTGCTATAGATTCTAAAAAATGCAAGTTATTTCATATTTGAAAAAATATTTCTAAAGTGTCTTAGATTTTCAAGAGTACTGTACTACAAGGGAGGCATAAAAATACTCAGGAACATAATTTGGGTACAGAAACTAATTTCTGTCCTAGCAATTAACTACTTTTCCACCCATTACAGATCTTAAACTTTATTTTTAAAAGG